TATCTATCTATCTATCTATCTATCTATCTATCTATCTATCTATCTATCTATCTATCTATCTATCTATCTATCTATCTATCTATCTATCTATCTATCTATCTATCTATCTATCTATCTATCTATCTATCTATCTATCTATCTATCTATCTATCTATCTATCTATCTATCTATCTATCTATCTATCTATCTATCTATCTATCTATCTATCTATCTATCTATCTATCTATCTATCTATCTATCCATCTATCCATCCATCCATCCGACCGACCGACCGACCGACCGACCGACCGACCGACCGACCGACCCATGTAAACTGCCTCCATCCTAACTCCCAGAAAGACTTTTAACTCTATAACAACAATAACTGTTCGTTGGGGGGAAATCAACTACCTTACAAGTTCTAAATATTTTTTTTACCCACAATAAACTAGTCAGTATTTTAGGACTATCTCAACCTGAAAATAAATACACTAATAAAAAAAACAAAAAAAACACTGTAACTCTTAAGTAAAAAAAATCTACACATTTCAGTATTTTTTAAAAATATTTATTTTGAGGCATTTTTTTCATATTTTTAAAAAAATATTTCCAGTTCGTAATTTTGTGAAAGTCCTCCAGAACCGGCTGCCACAGTTGATGTCTCAAACTTAGACATGTGGTTTGGTGGTTCGACATGAATGCATTTATCCATTACCTTTTACCCGCTTCTTCCATTTTGGGTTGTGGGGGTCGCTGGTGCCCATGTCCAGCAATCACTGTGCGAGGGGCGGGGTACACCCTGGACATGTCTCCAGTCCATCACAGGGACACATAGAGACAAACGAGACAAACAACCATTCACTCTCTCTCTCACCTAGGGACAATTTAGAGTTACCAATCAGCCTAACATGCATGTTTTTGGTCTGTGGGAGGAAACTGGAGAAAACCCACGCATGCACGGAGAGAACATGCCAACTCCACCCAGAAAGGCCCCCGGACTGGGATTTGAACCAGGGACCTGCTTGCTGAGAGGCAGCAGCTGTGCCACCGTGCTGCCAGAATGCATTTAAAAACATATATTTTTGAAAATATATTAGTTATTTAAAAAAAAAACAACTACAATGCTATTTTGTTTTCATCCTTTTAATGACCTGGACATATATACCTTCTCCAGCCGTATATTCCCTCACGCTCTCTCAGGTCATCAGATCAGCTGCTGTTGGCCGTCCCAAAGACCAACAGGAGGCTGAGAGGTGACCGAGTGTTCTCAGTCGCTGCCCCTAAACTGTGGAACGAGCTGCCTCTGCACGTCAGACAAGCTGACTCACTTCCTGTTTTTAAATCTGCTCTGAAGACTCATTTTTTCTCTTTGGCTTTTAACGCAGCTTGAAATGTTGCCTTTACTGTTTTATGATGTTTGTTTTATTGTTGTTACTATTTGCTGTTTTATGATTTGGTAGTTCATTACTTTTATGGTATTTGTTGAGTTCATAGTTTTTATGCTTGTATGTGTTAATGTACAGCACTTTTGCCAACGGTATTGTTTTAAAGTGCTTTATAAATAAAGTTGTATTGTATTGTGTGTATGTATATGTATATATATATATGTATGTGTATGTATATATATATATGTATATAAATATATATATCCATCCATCCATTATCTTTACCCGTTTATTCCATTTTGGGTCACGGGGGTCGCTGGTGCCCATGTCCAGCAATCACTGTGCGAGGGGCGGGG